ATATATATATATATATATATAAAACATTCTCATTTCAGTTTAAAGCATTGCATATATGAGAAAAGTAGGAAGTACTAGCAATCCATGTACATATATATGATATCGAAGGGATATTTTGCATATCTGATCCGCGATGAATTTCAAGAAGTTTATCTGGACTATTTCTATCGAAAATTCATCCGTCTTTTACGTGAAATGAATTTTGTCTCTTTGAAAACCACACGTACTTTCCTAATTTAAACTTACAACGTTCGTACAGTCTTCGTGCTGATACATCCTCGTTATAGATCTCGGATATATTGATTATATGCAGGACTAAGTTGGATGAAGTGTCTGTGCATGGACCGTAATTAGCGCCTCTTAATTTATCGTGTAAGGGCCATACAAGCGCGCCCGAGTGAAACTTTGATGTAACGATAAAGCAGCATATAGGCGAGATCGTGTAAAGATCTAACGTGTCTATTTGGGACGCGTTGGCATGTCTTTGCCGCGGCTTTCGGATATGTTAATCGTAAAAGGCGCACCGGATCGATCGCCATATTTAGAACAACTATTCTGCTCCCATTTTCCTCTGTTCGAATAGTTACATGTAGCTCGATTAGCTTACGAAACAACGATGTATGATTTAAACTTGCATGATGTCTGAATGACGCAACATACAAAGAGGAAACACAGCTATACAAAATGCAATTCCTATATAATCTGTATCCTTTCAATAGCCTGTATTTTCTTTATTACTGACATATAAAAGTATAAATAATTGATGATATATAATATTGTCTATTAATAATTAATAAGAAAACATCTCTTTTTATTTAATATTTTATAATAATTTACCAAGAAATACGCCAGTATTTGCCAATGCAAATATGAGTGGATAAATACAACTGAAATCTCTAGGCATATTGTTGGACTTGGAAACTGAAAAAAAAATATATAACGCTTGTGTCAACCTCTGGTATAGAAACGAAATATTTAGTTTCTGTTCTGCTTGTTCACAAACAAAATATTTCATTTTTGTTTTTATGAACTGAAGTGAAAAAAACCTTTTAAAATAAATTTTAAATTTTAAATGTAATTTAATATAAAAAAAAATGTTTAATTTAATATAAAAAAATTTTGTGCGTTTTACAGCAAACGAATGTTCCTGCAATTAAATGTCGATGGAATCTTGTGCCGCGCGCGTGTTAAATACGTGATATTTTAAAATTAATTAAATAATATCATGTAATATTTCATTTCTGATTATAACAAAAATGACATTATTATTTATCTCTTATTATAAATGCTGATTAAAAATTTGTAATTAAAATAATTATTCTATTTTCATTTTTATTATCGAGATTTCAATTAATATCGTTATTATCTCGGTTTAATATTTGATCGGGCTACCCATATGATGCTGATATGAAACCAATGTATTGTTCATCATTATAGCTATAGATAGTAGATCGAGATATAGATACTAACAACGTCATATCGGCAATCATTGCCTTTTACGATCTCGATTATAGAGATACTTTGTAGGTTCCTATAATCCGACTTAATCCGCATATAGTATCTATAATATAACGTCAGTACTGCATTTAACTCGCGAATCGTTCTATGAGATATCCATCCAAAATCGATCTTAATTAATATTAATACGCGTGTAATTTTTTATTTTTTAATTACATTATTTTTGAATATGTATATAATCGTAATTCTTATCTATTTAATAAATTAACAGAAATATAATTTATTAAATTGTTCAATATTATTTAAAATTAAAAAAGGAATGATAGAGAATTACATACACTGTAAAAAATAAAATGTTAATTTTAATTTAAAGACATATAGTGAACTTTCTGAGATATGCAAAAATATTAAAATTAATATTTTCGTGTTAATTTTAACATTTTTGTATGTCTCAGAAATTCACTATACGTCTTTAAATTAAAAATAACATTTTATTTTTTACAGTGTAATTCTCGCACCTTTTTTAATTTTAAATAATATCCATTATACTATAAGTCATAAAGTAAAATTAACATTTTATTTTGTCGCGTATTTGAAAAACGAGTGTGTCTAATATCCTGATTTGTAAATATGCCAGAGAATAATTTGAAATAATTTGTAAATAATAATTACAAAAGCTAAAGTATCTCTGTAATTATTTTTATATGAATAAGGACCGGTTCCATCTTTTGATAAATTTGACCCGTTCGGTAAATCTGGCAATCCGCGTGTGATTGGATAATTTGCTATTTACCCAATAGGTAAAATTTACCAAAAAGTGAAACAATCGGGCCTAAGAAAAGTTATTTAATTAGAGCTTTAATTATCCATTGTATATTTTAAATTGCGATTTTTCTGAGATTGACGCGAATAATTTCAGATTTTATAAATGCGAAATCTGATATCTTTCTGACGTGTGATGTCGATCGACTTCATACTCAATACATTTTTGCCTTTAGTTCCTCACTGGTTTCTAAATATATTCTAAATATAATGAACCAATCATTCAAGAATCTTACAAAATTGGCTTTTTCTGTTGAATCTAGTCATGTACGTCGCGAGATCTTTTTGCAGAGATTCAGAACGATCGGTAAGGCGAATTTTCGCGACTGATTCTCAAAGTAATCTCCTTATTATCCACCATACCTCAGCTCTCACTCGCGCTGAAGAACACGTTTCGCGTTCGTGTCGAAAATCAAAAATCTTTTCGCAAATACTTCGGAAGATATCAGTGGCGATTTTCACCTCCTATTTTGTATCGTAGACGGCATAACTTGTTTCGACCAACAAATGCGAACGTGCTCGGAACTGCGAATCCGTTGGCTCTCTCTCTCTCTCGAGTGAATTAGACGCCGAGAAGATATCGAAAGAAAATTTTTCACGCAAACGCGAATTTCAAAGAATTTAAAATACAGTTCCGGTATAAAGAGCCTTCCCATCGAGCTCCATTCTTTTTTACTGAGGTAGAAATGAAAGGAACATAATTGCAAAGGTAGTTTGGAGCATTCTTAGTTTAATTACTTATTTTTGAAAATCGTTCTTTTATCCTTTAATTAACGATAGATATACTTTTGGAATATTTTTTTAAAACAAAGAAATATTGACTTTTCTCTCTGATATATAGTAT